TTCAAACATGTAAAATGATTCGCATTATGTGAAAACCACGCTTTTGCATAATACGAAAAGGGAAGATTAAGCACTTTTTAAAAACACACCTTAAAGGGCTTTTAAAAAAACGAAAATAAGTACCTTTAAGAAAGCTACACACCATGTGGTATTTAGAATTGCAAACAAATATGAAACTATGAGTCATTAATTACTAAAGAGTCTAAGGATCAAACTAAATATATAAACAAGGAGTAATCATACAGTTGAAATCAGTGGCGTACGCAGAATTTTTTCAAGGGGAGTGTTCATAATTTTCTGAAGCTACTAAAAGAAGTTCGAGTATGTAATAAAGCACTATTATTTCCCTAATTTAGACAACATTGTTTAGTTAAATTGTGATNTTGAGTTCCCAAACATTTTTAAGTATATCCAGTTTTTTATCCTCGCATGTATTATCTTCTGAAAAAAGTCCAATGTCATATGGGTGGGAAGTAACACTTTGAGGGCCACTTTCACATCCATAAGATTTTGTTATGCTAGAAACGTTTTCTTCAACGGAAGTGTCACATTTCTGTACAACAGAAAAACTTACATTGTACTCCGTTCCCCCTTTTATATAATTTTTCACCGCATCTCTAAAATTCTTGAAGACGACAGAACGTCTAAGATTCCAGAATCATCGCGTAAAGACCTCGCGAATGACAGAACAGAATGGAACCAGTCCATAACAGTATCACGTGAATTTGGTTTCAAAAGTACAACCCTATTATAGTAAATGTTTTTTTCAGTATTCTGAGAAATACCGTTAGAATAAAAGGTAGGCATAAGGCAAATAAAAATATATAGTCTTAAAAAATAATACCCGCATAATTTTTACTAAAATTTTTATTTTTGCCATTTTGTCTGAGCTCAAGGGGGGTGTTCAAACCCCTCCCTTGCGTACGCCACTGGTTGAAATTGATAAGTAGACATTTCCTTCTAGCGAATTTTAGGTAGCAGCGCGGATGCCCGGGTTTAAGGGTAAATATAATTAGATGCTTCTAAAAATAGAAGCGAAACTAAAAAAAAACCCATAAAAAGGTTGGCACATTAAAGAGCTGAAAACTAGGTTGTTTTTTTTTTTCTTTTTAAATTTTTTTGTTCGAGTTGACGTTTCCGATTGAAAATAACTTTATAACTAGGGTGTACAGATTNCATAATGTAATATCTTCTGAAAAAAGTCCAATGTCATATGGGTGGGAAGTAACACTATGAGGGCCACTTTCACATTCATAAGATTTTGTTATGCTAGAAACGTTTTCTTCAACGGAAGTGTCACATTTCTGTACAACAGAAAAACTTACATTTTTCCCCGAGACGACAGAACGTCTAAGATTCCAGAATCATCGCGTAAAGACTTCGCGAATGACAGCCAGTCTCGAAAACTATCGCGACTGGCAGAACAGAATGGAACCAGTCCATAACAGTATCACGTGAATTTGGTTTCAAAAGTACAACCCTATTATAGTAAACGTTTTTTTCAGTATTCTGAGAAATACCGTTAGAAAAAAAGGTAGGCATAAGGCAAATAAAAATATATAGTCTTAAAAAATAATACCCGCATAATTTCTACTAAAATTTTTATTTTTGCCATTTTGTCTGAGCTCTAGGGGGTGTTCAAACCCCTCCCTTGCGTATGCCACTGGTTGAAATTGATAAGTAGACACTTCCTTCTAGCGAATTTTAGGTAATTTAGGAATTTTAGGCGTAAACATAATTAGATGCTTCTAAAAATAGAAGCGAAAGTTAAAAAAAAAAAAAAAAAGCCCATAAAAAGGTTGGCACATTAAAGAGCTGAAAACTAGGTAAATTGTTTTTTTTTTTCTTTTTAAATTCTTTTGTTTCAGTTGACGTTTCCGATTGAAAATAACTTTATAACCCATAACACCGAGGAACTGCCTGGGCAGAATTGAGGGAACCACAAAGTGATCACGGTGAATTTCAATTTTCCTACAGCACTTAAGAATCGTGTAAAACGAATGGCGTTTTCATACGCTACAGACTGACAATATGCCGAAATACATTAGGGTTGAATTAATTTTGAAAACGTTGAATAGAACAATGTGAACTGTCTTTTTGCATAATTCGAAGAGAAATTCAACATTGTAAAAGACATCGCATTTTGAAAAAGGGAAAATTGAGCACTTTTTTTAAAAATACTCAATGAAAAAAGCATCTTTAAGGGCTTTTAAAAAACGAAAATAAGCACCTTTTGAAAACGCTACATCATCCATGAAGAGAGCCTGTTTCCATCTAAATGAAATGAGGAAAAAATTAAGCAATGACAGCTAAGATCCACTATTTTTAGTAGTCCAATGAACTTGTAATATCATATAGTTTCTTATTCAAGAACGAATGTTTGTCCATGTTGGAGCTATAAAGGATCTCCTGAAGTAACAGCATACAATAAGACATTTGCAGTAAAAATTGGATATTCAGATATGTTAAGGTGTTACTTGGGAATCTGGGCAGTTGATATATGATCTCGTATTATTGGGACGGATTTTCATGCCCTTATGTTTTGTCTGGTTAATGTAGACTACATCTCGAGGACAACCGAAGTCTGTTCAGCGGTTTCCTAGTGACTTGTTAATTAGTCTGCATTTGCATCAGCTAGGGAGGTGTCTGAATCGGATTGGCTGCTGCCACGGGCTTTGGCCAAAAAGTTCAGCATATGCGTTCCGTTGCATACTTACGAACTACTTATATCCATTGTAGTACATGGTATTTTCCTCAAGAACGAATATTTTTATCTCATTAATCGAAACTCTCGCCAACTTTTTCGTAGTAAGACTATGAAACTAACATTTTAATAATTTATTTTGCTAAAGACAGCACAAACTAAATTACTTTTATATTGATTTGAAAGCATATTTGTATTATTTGATAACGAACTTTAATATATACATTACTATCGAAATTTTTTCAATTAGGAGTTGCGGTTTTTATTAGTTTCAAATAAATTAAATACTACTTGCAACTATACAAGCAGCATTTTCTAATGAGATAATTCTCTTAGGAACAGAAAGTTTGGTTCAGGAGGTGCCCCCTCTACTACTGTATATCAACAAAAAATATATTCAACAAATGTTTGCAGTGTCCAAAAATGACTCCCTAAACTGAGTTCCCAATTGGCACATAAACATTTTTTACTGCTCAATCAGTTTAAGTATTATTTGATAGTCAAATTATTAAAATCATTCAATAATTTTCATGTATTACAATAAAATTTTAATGAATTAAGAACATTGTCATTTGTGTTAAATTGAGAACATAAAATAGCTTAATTTAATGTTGTGAACATTTAATATTTTTGCAAGGTAGATCTTGCAGAATGAATATAAAGTAGTAGCATATTTTATTTTTAATTACTTAAGTTGAACTATACCTCAGGAGGAAATGTTTTTATTATTATGACTTATAATTTTTAAAAATTTATGTTAAAAATTCATTCTTTTTAAATCAAAAAATTGCTTTGTAGATATAAAAAGGATTGAAATCATTTTTGACTTCCAATAGATCTCTGCACAAATTTCTCAAATTACAAACTGAGTAACATTTTTACATATTTTGTTTCATGTACAATTACCCTAGACGCACACACCAAGTGATTTTTACAGGTGTCTTTGTGTAGGGTATGCATCACAACTGCTATATTTCAAATTTAGGTAAATATATTTCTACATTTTAAAAAAATTACAAAATTTTAATTCCGTTAACAGTGGTGACTAAACTATCTGGGACACTCCAGTAAAATGCACGAGAATACTGTTAAGTATAGAAATATAAGTTACAATCAATCTATAGATTAACTTAATTTTGTTAATGTTAGGTTACTTTAAAAATCTTAACCAAATAAAAAAAAAGTTGATAGATAAAAGATTAAACTTATCCTCAGACACATCGTCAGCTATCACTCAATGAAATTTTTTTAATCTTAGCTTAGAATATTTATGGATCTATTGTTTTGGACCAATTATCTTATTCCAAAACTTTGTGAGAATTTTTTTTATAAAAACAAGCTTCCAACAATGTTTTTACACTAAACAAGTCAATTCATTACATTCACAAACAATAGCATATAAATTTAACAGACAAAGTATGGGCCTTCTTAATCGGCTGTTTCTCTTAATTTCTGTATATTATCTATTACATTTCATTCTTAAACAGTTAATCATGCACTTTAATGGCCATAAAACCAGCATTTCTATTTTAGTGTTAAATTTTACTTCGAAAATACTCTAATGGGATTTGTCATAAAATATTTAGTCTTACTGAATGCAGCAAGATTAAACGCAAAATAAGTTCACTTTTCATTAAACTTCTCAGATTGAAAAAATTCTTGACCTGAAAATATATTCTATAACAAAATATATAAAAAACTACTTACCTTTAAAACATGCACCTAAGAAAAATAGCTACATTGTAGCATAATAAGTGAAATAGTGCAATTCAATATATTTGCACAATAAAGAATATCAAACAATATTTTGGGTTCATTTTAATTGGGAGAGCATATAAACCACATACTATTTCCATCTTATCTCTTAGTTTAAAATTGGTTATTCAGAATTGTTGCAGCAAATTTCTAAATTTTCTAAATTCACGAAATACATGCTTAAATAAATAAATAAAAGTGCGAAAAAAAAGCAAATATCTTAACACAAATTAACTTAAAAATAAACTTAAACCTTGATTATAGCATTTATAATAACCTGCTATTTTGGCCCATCAGCAAAGAATTAATATCCAAAATTAATTTCCCCCCTCTTTAAACAACCCATACAAACTAATTTGAACACATTCAAGTAATTTTGTTTTTAAGGTCCAAGCAAAGGTTTTTGCAGACATAGCAAATTTTACACACAGTTAGAGCATGATTTCTATTACAAAATGGAGGGAAAATTTAATAACCACAATATTAAGTTCAGATGCTTTGCTGGAATAGAATAAGGTTGACCAAACTAATGACCACTAAGTTTTATTTCAACTTAGTTCAAGGAGGAACATTTTTATTAAACATAATGAGGTTGAATCTGTCATGTACACTTACACACAAGGCTAAATTTAAAATTTTTTTCTCCTTAAGACTCTTTCAGCTCAATTTAAATATGCCCGAATTATCAACTAACTTTTATTTTGTGCCATTTACTGATTAATGCATAATTTGCACTAATAAAATGAATGAAAAATCTAATATTTTAAATTAAACAAATACAGATGCACGATATAGAACAGCATTAACAAAACTATTAAATACAATATTTACACACGGTTATCCTAAAAATTGTTTCTTACTCTTTAAAAAGGAATTTTATTATACCAAGTATATTAAAATCTGTATGCTATGTCAAAAAGTATGAAATTTTAACACGGTAAAAAATGAGATATTCTTCAACATAAAAATATATAAACACAAACTTTTAAAATGTTTGTGGTACTTAGGTACCCCAATGTGACACATTTAAAAATTTTCACTTCTCATTTTGTTTGTCCATAAAATATACACTCCTAATTTACAGAAGATAACCATAGCTAATTTTGCTTTGTATTTAATACATATTTTCCATGTAAGTCATAGCATTCTTTTAATCATTTTATTTGTAACTCACTTCAAAAGTTTTATTAAATAATGATTAAAATTATTGTTTTTAGACCTTGTGCGCCAACATTTTTATAAGACTTGGCTTAAAATAGATGATCATAACATTCCAATTAACCTTTAATTTGTTCCTAAATGCAATTTAAAAAAAAAATGCATTTTAATTACTAAATATGCAATATACATCTGCCAACATTGAGCGAATAAAAATCGGAGATTTTCATAGCAACATTGATACGTCGTGCATAACCATGTAAGTCTAAAAGAGAAACTCAAAATTGGAAATATAAGCACTTACATTTAGGGAAAATATGTAAATCTTAATCAAGATTTTTTAAAAATATTATGTATCATTACTCAAACTATTAACACTCGTCATACTGCAGCACTGTGAATAGCACCATCTGTTGAGGAATAAGAGAAGCCTTTTGGCAATCAGCAGACATTTTATCACCAATTTTTTTTAAAAATTTCTTCAACAAATGCGAAGAAACTTGTGAATATTTTCTTAAAAGAACATCTTAGCAACAAAATCATAAAAGTATTAGCATAGATATGTAAACTACTTTTGCCTGTAAATTTAAAAAAAAAATCTTAAGGCAGAAGTTTAACATGCACATATCTTAAGTACACATATATATATTTATTATCTTATCTCACAGTAATTAAATTCTTTTACCTCCTGAATGAACTGCCATACGAAACAATTGCCAGAAATGGCCAATCCGCTGTGGACTTCATTGAAATTCCCACTTCAATTAAAAATGGTCTACTGATGTAAATGCTGTTACAAATCCTATAAATGAACCAATCACAAAAATTTCATGCAGAGTCAATTTATTTTCTTCTAAATATAAGGATGGCTTGCTTATACAACACAAGGCTGCCTATTTTAAATACTATGAATTATTTCGGTCTCTCTGACTAGTAATTAGGCAATGAGCATCAAAATAAACCAAATGTCAATAATTTGTGAAAATTAAGTTATTTTTTTGAAGATGGAGCTTTTAACATTCATTTGCTTTAAAAAGATGATAGCTTACTTTTGGTTGAACTTATTTTCCACACTGCATATTGGAGAAATGTGTAAACACTGTTTGAAATGGTACACATTAAAATTAATCTTTTCTTCTCAGTAATAAAAGAACTCAATCACGTACTACGGTTTCTAATTTATTGTAGACTAAAATCGACTAAGTCAAAATCATCTATTAATCCATGCCAGGCGAATGCTGCCAAATAAGTGGAATGACAATTAAACAATACTACACATGAGGGCTATGATTATTGTTGATATACTTGAAACTTGATAGGTTTGTTAAATATAACTAAACCTATTGGAAAGTAAACTTAAAATAACTCAGGCCCAATCAGGGATAAAAGTTGAATAGTTTTCTTTAGGACTAAAAAAAAGGTAGGAAGCTTCCCTTCAAAAAAGGGCTATCACTCAGCACCGTAAAAATTTATTAAAATGTGTAACATCAAGTAATAACTGAATTAGATCAACAATTTTTAAATCACCCTCTTATAAGTATTTTATATAATTATCCTTCACAGTTAAGAGAAAATTTGAAGTTTATAAAAAATAATTAAAGGCATGTTCAATAACAATTTCTATGCATAAATTTTTTTCTTCAAAAATACACTAAAAAAGTGATTAATTTATAATCTTGAAAGCGTTTTTTTACAATTTAAACTGAAAATTATAAAAATGCAATGTCTTTAAGGTATGGCGGTTAATTTTTACAATAAAAGGCTAAGAGGGTTCCAAAAATGCTTAGGGAGAACATTGAGTATTTTGGAGAGACAAACACAGTGGCACGTTAAAAAAGCTATAAAAAAAAAATTCCTATCTTTGTTTCGCATCCCTAAATTTTTTGTTACATATTCTTTTCCTTAAAATAACTTTTGTATTTCTTTTTATTGGTCATTTATTTAAATAATGTGCACTAAAAGGGAGCAGTTCGGAAAAATCAGTCAAAACTGCTTTCAGTAGGGAGATAGTGAACTCCCGATTAACCAAAATTTTGGTCCCTTGAAGGTACACTATAGTGGGGTTTGACAGTAGTAAAGCACTTAGTTATTGATGCTTTTTTTGGTCAGCCAATGTACACCCTAGCTCACATATTCACAATACACTTTTCTACATGGATAAATCAAATATTTATCAGACAACTTTTCCTTTAGTTTCTAGAAAAACAAAATTGCAGTGGTCTTGCAAAATCTTTTAAAGATAAGTAAATCTAGTTTTTTGTGTTAAAAGCCACTCTTCACACTAATTTTTTTTAGGAAATTACACTGAGTAATTCAAAATGTCATAAAAATGATCTTTTTCAAATCAAAGTTTCTTTTTGTAAATTTTACATACCAAGCTTGCAGAGTGCATCCATCAGCACTTGCGTGAACCTTGACTATAACTTAATTCCACCATTGTATTCATCTTCCCTTCCTGTATTAAAAAAATCAGTGAGAGATGGACTTAACAAGGCAAAGCCTTATGTCCAAACAATAAGATACTTTGAACTTAACTTATTAAGATCTACGAAAAAATTTATTAAATCTTTAATTATGATAATGATGAAAAACTTTATATCTAATTAACTAGGTTTAATATATTTAACTAGGTTAAACTTTAAAGGATTTACAAATTAAGATAATCAACTTCAGTTTATACTACTTAGAAAAACAAAGAANAATCTCTTACCTATATGTTTATGATTATGATAATGATGAAAAACTTTAAATCTAATTAACTAGGTTAAACTTTAAAGGATTTACAAATTAAGATAATCAACTTCAGTTTATACTACTTAGAAAAACAAAGAAAAATCTGAAATGGATATTAAATTGTTCTCAACTTAGAAGTAAATCATAAGCATCAATTAACTTTATTTCTAGGGTAGCGTAAAAGTGTTTACCCAGTGATGTTTGAACAAGACAGCTCCTTTCATTAAGACTTGTCCCAAAACAGAGGAATCTCGGCACACAGCAGACTTGGAAGATGGATTATAATCTTCCACTAAAGAGTTTTAAACAATAATTCACAAGTGGCCTTACAGTAAAGCAATAATGAGTAATTATAAAGCATGCATTACAAAAAAAAAATTGAAAGTGAAATTAATAGGATCATAATTAGATTCCAATTAATTCAATACTCAGTAATATAAATTTGAAAAGCAACAATAATTTAAATTTAATTTAACCAAAACTATAAATTTGGCTGTCATATCAATGTCAGACTTTAGAAAAAAGTCCAAATTGTCTCAAAAGCAAATAAAACTTTAAGTTTAAAATAATATCATTCTTCATAAAAATCTCATTAAAATGCACACCTTAGATTAGAAATCAACTTAAAATAACTGAAACAAACATTCTATTTAAAGTATGTGATATAAAATTTAGACTTTAAGATCTTGTAAGCATCAAAATTCATATTAAACTCTCCTTGTATAGCACTGAATGTGAAATAAACAAAAACAAGCCACTTAGTTGAAAGGAGTCAATAAGTGGAAAAATTCAAAATGTACGAATCTAAATTTCTTACACGCTGGTGCTCTTTCAATCTAACTCCACTTCCAAACAAATCAGGTATTACTATATCATCTTAGAAATAGACATTGAATCACGGTAGTCTTATTTAAGGCAAGCATCAAATATAAATTAGCTAAAGAGATCAAGAGAAAGAAATAAGATAACAAGTAATAATTACAGTAAGAGAAAAGACAAAATATAGAATTTGAAATAAATAATTTATTTACATTAGTGGCAATAATAATGGCAGTTTTACCATGTTGTCTCCTTTCACAATGAATCGATTCAGTCGACGGGTAACCACAGAATATCACAGTTATTGAGATTAATATAATTCTTGCTGTAAAAAGAAACAGATGAATATATAACAGATGATGAGTTGCTAACAACCCACATTATAATGATGAATATTTACATATGACAAATATAATCTTATTTACAATACTAAAGTTCATATTATTAACTAGACGAGGTAGAAACAGCTTTTAAACTGTTAAAAAAATCTTTCAGACCCAAAAGTTCTTCGCAGGTATCGTCATCTATCTCCATACGGGAATCTGGTTCCAGCTTCAATTTCTTAGCAAGACATAGACCCAGCTTCAACTCATCCCATTTTCGTTTCCTCGACTGTTGTTTCTCTCTCAATTCTCTGTCTAGCAGCTTGTGTGTAGATTTTAACAGCACTTCAACTCGTAGATTGTCCCGAACTCTGAGCTGCTTTCTAGAAACACTAGATAACATATCAAGGAGTTCGTCGGTTTGCATGTTGCTTCTGCACATAGTAAAAATATAAGAAATTACTAAGCAGACTTCAATTACAAACTATTAAGTGATTTTTAGGCTATCACTTTAGGTTAAATACTGATATAGCTCCAAGAAAATAATAAAGTTCAAATCAGCTAAATATCGAAGTTAGGCTTAGATCAGAGGATTCGAAAATAGACCTACTCAGATGAAATTTTGAGGTCAACTAGTAGAAAAATATATTAAATAACTAAAGATATTACTTTAGAATCAAATAATCACTCTTTCAAAGTACTCACAAATCTTCGCTATCAGCAATCTCAATTAATATCGGCAGCTTTCAGAAAGTCACAATATGGCTGACTTCGACATCAAAAGATTATAGGAGGAAATGGAAATTCCTGTGACGCTAATCCACTGACGTCATAGATAAATCCGATCAGCTAAGAACAGCACCAGAAAGGTACAATTATGCGCATGCGCCAAACATCAAAGGGAAAATATGTCTATAATATACAAATGTGAAAAAGACTTCCTTTTATCGAAACTGTTTGTTACATCAAATACTTATTGCAACTTTTTAAGTTTGAATTCTGAAATGAGAAAATATAGTGAAAATCAATAAATGAATGTTAAGTTTTCCCTATCATTCTTATGTAATCTATACATTTTCCCCAAATAAGAAAAGAAGAAGTACTTTCTCCAGATAAAAAAATTTCTTCACTTATTATCATACAACGGTCACAGTTAAATTTATAAGAGTAAATTTAAATAATAATAGTATGGAGTAATTTGTCAGCATTTCTTAATTAATTCTTGACAAATTTTCTTTTAAAACTAATGCAGAAGAAAAAAAAATGTAATAAATATTTTTTTTTTAATTTGATGTTTCTGCATTCTACTTTTGCTCCTGACAGACATTCCAAACAATAAAAAACGTAACTATTCAATAATTTATATTAATTAAAATTCGCTGATAAGTGCATTTGATGTAGCATTTTATGATATGGCTTTAATTAATTATATAATCAGTTGTAAACTTACAAATTATTCATATTAGTGACATATTAACTTTCTGAAATTTTTCTTCTTCTAAAAGCTGTAGCTGGTTTCGCCATATCTAGAGATATCAAAGGTAAATTTGCTGATTGTTGATACCAAGAAAATAAATCCCCTTCTTTGCTTTACTGACAGAAACTCTCTATGAAATATTCTTTGAAACCTTCATGAAACTTTAAGCAGCGAAAGGGGAAAATTTATATCAGATTGCTTTATCAACAAATAAGGAAGTTTTGTATTCTTTATTATTATGATTTCATAATGGGAAAGTTATCGCTAGCAATCCAATGATATTAAGTTATTTAGATTCGAAGAGTTCTGATAAGATTTCATATAAGCTTTTTCTATAACATCATATTTTCGCAAGTATGTCTAAATATACATTGTTTGGTTTATACAGAACGAAAAAAGTTCTGTCCACTTTTGTTGTTTACAGTTAGATCAGTACCTGCTGAAATGTTTATATATAATGTTTTGAATGTAATTCGTTACTCTTAAACTAGTTCAAAAATACATTTAATCCATTTTTAATGCTTCAATAAATGTTACACTATTTTACTGCTAAAACGATGTTCATTATCAATTTCTAATGTTAAAATTTTCGTATTTTGTAGATGATTCCTTCGCGGCAAAAGCTAGAGATAGTTGAAATGGATCCTAGCTGAGTTGCAGGAAAATAAATAAATTCCAACTGTTGATTTTGTCATGTTTGCTTCAAGCAGGGATGCAGATCAAATTTATGATTTTGATAATGAAGAAAATTCGGGAAAGTGGAAAAATCTTCTTATAAACGCATTAGGAAAGGTATTTGCTGTTTTATAATATTAAAGCTTACTGTTTTATTGTATTAAACTGGTATATTGTATTAAAATTTTAAGGTTATCAGTTAGAAACCACTCTAGCAACCTTAAGATATATTGTTCCTGAAATGCATTTGTTTTAAATGGTAAAAAAATGTTATTGGAATAGAGTGGACATTTAGTATAATCTATATGTTGAGGCCTCTTATTTTATTGCCAAGTTGGTTACAAGGATGTGAGATGTTTCTTTTATAGCAACTCTAGTATTTTATGGAAAATCTCTTACCTATATGTTTATGATTAATACATTTTTATTTTATGTATATGCACATTTTTGTTTTATTTATTAGTGCATTGTGTCTATGGTGCTATTTTATTTGGCAGGGCATTGCATTTAAATAATGTACCTGCAAAAAAGATTGCCAATTTTTGTTAAAGATATTTTTCTAGATATTAAAGTAAGTTTATATTATAGATTGGAATAGACTTTACACTAATAGATATTAAAACTGAATATTTGTTTTTTAATAACTTTTTGATTTGGCAAATTTTTGATTAGATTGTGTTCATGGCTATGGTGTTTGTGATGAAAAAAGTTTAAAATACTGACTTCTTAAAAGTTAGAGTAAGAATAAAAAATGTAAACTTGCTCTAGAATTTTTACAAATGAATAAATAACTATTTTTAAAGTGGAAATCACAACAAATTAACTTTATTTTATCAAATATAGATACACTTATGTGGCAAGAACTGTATTTTTATGTATAATTTATGAATTTTGGCTCTATAATAATTTATGAATTCTTAAACTCTTCAAAATATTATCCTTCGGTCTTAATCTCAGCTGCACATATATTTGGTACTCTTTCTATTTATTTTTGCAATGTTCTAATTGAGATCTGGTTCCAGCAAATATGTAAAGATAACCAAAGTTTATTTTAATTGGTACATTGCATTTTTTGAACATTTCTATCGAGTACACCCCACATCAGGTCAATGGGATTAATATCCGGGGATTGAGGGGGAGGGGTCAATCTATGTGTTTCAGAACTTTTCTTTTGTTGTAATGTAGTTCAACATAATTTTGATAAATGTTTGAGATTGTTATCTTAATGAAAAAAAAATCATTGACCAACGATTCTTTGTCCACATGGAAAAGTGTCATGCTGCAATATTCTGTGATAACATTTTTATCCATAATTCCCTCTATTATTATAAGATCTCTAACTTTTGACACTGGTAAAACATCCCCAAACCATGACCGATTCTCCGTCGTGATTCACAGTTAGTAGTATATACATTGATTTGTAATACTGTCACCAACTGAAACACCAATATACTGCCATTGTTAGCCACCAAACAACTCAAATTTTGACTTGTTAGTAAAAAAAAAGTTTGACTACAGTTTTAAAAATTAGTTAAAATTTTTTTGCCCATTGTAATCGTATAACTATGTTTTTTTTTCTTTTTCTTTTCGAAACGAGGTTTCTAACAGCAATGCATCCTTTGAAAACATACTCATGAACACTACATTGTACACAGTTTTCTGCCTATTAGCATTAAATTCCTTGCAGATTTCTAGCACGGTTAAACTCTGCTGCTGCTTACTTTGAATGCAGATGAACTTATCCTCATGTTTGAATGTTATAGATCTCCCTGATCAATAACTATTGTTATTTTGGTTTAGTTTCTTTCTTCCTATATAAAGTTCCTACAACAGTGGCTACTCTTATTTTGCCCAGTGTTTCTTTCTTCCTATATAAAGTTCTTACCACAGCGGCCCTGATCAGTGGCTACTCTTATTTTGCCCAGTTTCTTTCTTCCTATATGAAGTTCTTACAATAGTGGCCCAGATCAGTGGCTACTTTTATTTTGTCCAGTTTCTTTCTTCCTAAATGAAGTTCTTACTATAGTGACCCAGATCAGTGGCTACTCTTATTTTGTCCAGTTTCTTTCTTCCTATATAAAGTTCTTACAATAGTGGCCCAGATCAGTGGCTACTCTTATTTTGCCCTGTTTCTTTCTTCCCATATAAAGTTCTTACAATAGTGTCCCAGATCAGTGGCTACTCTTATTTTGCCCAGTTTCTTTCTTCCTATATAAAGTTCTTACCACGGTGACCCAGATCAGTGGCTACTCTTGTTTTGCCCAGTTTCTTTCTTCCTATATGAAATTCTTACAACAGTGGCTTCTCTTATTTTGTCCAGTTTCTTTCTTCCTATATAAAGTTCTTACAACAGTGGCCCATATCAGTGGCTACTCTTATTTTGTCCAGTTTCTTTCTTCCTATATAAAGTTCTTACAACAGTGGCCCAAATTAGTGGCTACTCTTATTTTGTCCAGTTTCTTTCTTCCTATCTTAAGTTCTTACAACAGTGGTCTGGGAAACCTTTGTTTTGGAAACAATTTGTCTACTTGAACAGCCTTCTGTATTAGGTGCAACAATAACTACACGAGTTTCGATACTTATTCCTGATTTTTGACCTTTATTTCTGTGGTAGATTGTATAAAAAAATGTAGCATTCGTTTTTAATATATACTAGTTATTCTTGGAAATAATGCTATTATATCAATGTTTTAAATGTGCTATGTATATGAACTTACTTTGGAATGAATTTTAGAGAAATAGATGAAAAATAAATTGTTAATAAACTAAAAATTAATGAGATTTTGTAAATAAATAAAAAAAATTTAGAATATGTATTTGTAAGCACTAGTTTGTGTCATAAGCAACTACAAAGTAAATGCATAATGAAAAAATAAAGTACAGTTTTAAGTGGAAACTGTGTTTTGAGAAGTTTGTTGATGTTTATTTTTGATAAATTACCTGTTTATCAAGTCAGTCAAGTCAGAAATATTTGACTATTAGAGGTTTTGAAGTAGTCTAAACTTTTGACTGGTATTCTGTATCCTTTTGGTTTAAATAAGACAGAAATTTATTGATCGTATGAAAATTAATATGAAAATATTTAGTATTTTTATATGAACAGAATATTACATATTAGTTTTATGACAATTATTTAAGTAACTTCAATTTAATTTATCATATTTAAACTTTTTTATGCCTATGCTTAATAAATCTAATTGAAAAAGTGTTTAAATTTTAAGATCAAATTTATTTAGCTCAGTTGAAATGTTAATTAGAAAGATATACAAATGAATTCTCTGTATCATGTCAGTAATAATTTCCAAGTTCTAGAATATTCTCTAACAAGAGTATTATACTGAAATCTAACTCTTTTCTTATAATGGTGTTGTACAATTTCAATATTTTAAACAAATGTATTTTAATATTTTTTTTCTACTATTTTGTTATAAAATGCCTTTATTCCTTTATACCTTTATTCCAATTACTCATGAAAAGAAAAAAATAGAAATCAATAATTTAAAATTACTATTTACTTAGTAATAACAATAATATATTCTGAAGATAAGGGAAAATTTTTGATCGATTATAAGTTGGAGTGAAAAATTACAACTACCGACTCCACAGCCCTGAGTGTGTCATTTGATATAGTGACAGTGTTTATTAAGATGATACGTTAGATGTGTTATGAGATGATGATATGTTAGATGTGTTATGAGATGATGATATGTTAGATGTGTTATGAGATGATGATACGTTAGATGTGTTATGAGATGATGATACCTTAGAATTGTTAGATTTAGGGGTGCTCAACCTTTTTGAGTAAAGAGCCTCTTGCACAGAAGGTTGACCAAGGAAAGGTCGCATTCAGGGATTTTCAAATAAATTTGGCCAAAATGAGGTGGCAACGAAGGGGTTGAAACTAGTTATAAGAGTTAATCATTTGCTTGTAAGAAGTTTTTTAAAATTTTGAGTTCGAAGAAAGTTTTTCATTTTATCTGAGTCTGCCTTTGTTATACACTATACCCTTTGGTTCTTTTATAGGCATATATTCACAAGTAATTTTTAAAAAATTATGCATAATAATTTATCTTTAATTTATACAATATACTGCATCATTTAATTTCTTACAAGTAAATCTAGAAATCTAGAATTTCATAATTACAAAACAAGGTGTTAAACATTTTAAAAAATTGCAGCCTTTAAAAGATGTTTAGTAAAAAAGAATATGCAGCTTTTTTTTTGCAATTTCCTTGATGTTTGATGCTCAGCAAAATGTATAAATCTGTAGGTCTTCTAAGTGAATTTCTTATATAATTTAAACATAAATTTAATTAACTTAAACTTTTCAATTTTAATTTGGATATGGAAGAAATTAAAATAATAAATTTTAAAAAAGTTTGCTTGAAGAGTTTCAGAGAACAGATCCTAATCTAAGAATTAAGTTACCTTTATAAATGTCATTTTCTGAATTTTGACAAATTTAAAAAAAAAAGACATTATCCGGGTCCCGGTGGGTCAGGGAAAATAGAAAAAACCTGAAATGGTCAGGGAATTTTATTTTAACTCTGAAAATCAGGGAATAGTCAGGGACAGTTGCAATTTTTTACAAAAAAAAACCCTGGAAAATTCCTGTATGATATCTGGAAAATAACCAGTCTTAGAATTGTCAGTAAGAGTAATAAGTTATTGATATTCAAGTTAAATAATTCTAACATCTATTTCAATTAAAAAAATCCACTTTTTAGTCAAAATTTTCCATGTCTCAATTCTCATTCTATTATATGTTTTTGTTCACAAAGTCTAACATTTGTCGTTACAAATTAAGAAAATCAAAATTTTCTAATGAAAAATTGCAAGGTATAGATGAAATGTATGGATTTTTATTGAATCTTATCTGATATACCTGGAAAAGTCGGGGAATTTTTTTTTTTTTTTTTTGAAATTGAGTGGGAACCCTGATTACGTGACTAACAAACAATATGGATAATTCAAAATCTTCAAACAATTTGCCTAGAACTAATCATTATATTTAATTTTATTCATAAAATACTACCACCATCACTTGAAAGTAGTAACGTTAAAATTTATCACCTTTCTCACTAAAACAGAAAATAGTAGAGGAGGAACTGATAGTAAAGGACCTAAAGAAGGATAGTGGAACCTTACCAATTCTTTTTTAAAAGTTTTTTACTTCTTGGAACTATTTACAGAGTAAAACCATGTGAATTTCCCTTTGTTATGAAAATGAGTTTATTATTTGGATTAGTTATTTAAATAAATAAAATATATTGAGCACAAATATTAAAAGAGCATACAGCTGTTTTGATAGTTTAAATGGCATTAATAAAATTGATTGGCCTAAAAATGTTGCATGTTTATAGCATCACAGTAGTTGTATGTGACAAAACTAATTAGATTTGTTTTTAAAAAGAGTCATTTAGGAGAGATTAATTGCTTAACACTATATGAAGTTAAGTTGCCCGACCTTAGTTGACATAATGTTTTAATATTTGGTTTGGTCTCGATATAACAATATATCCCCCTACAACAATATATTTATTTGGCCCCAAAATATTGTAGTATCGAGGTTTTTCTGTAGTTTACATTAATTTATTTTATTTTAAATCATTCCTTTAATTGTAGATCAGTGATGCTTTTAGAAAACTGCAATAATTATATTTAGATCCCACCAACAATCCTTTGTTCACTTAATATTTGATTTGCCTTTCGGAAATAATTTTATAAGTAAAATGCAGAAAAAGAAATTAAAAAAAATTGTTTTGAAAAAAAATATATTAATTAAAAGTTTTTATCATTTTAAAGTATATTTTCTAATGATAAAAAAACGTCTTTCTTGAAATTAAATATTTTCAAAATAAACTATCTTTTATTTGTTAATATTTTCCCAATTAACGTTTTATACTTTATTTTTATAAAGTCAGAATTCTGCTTAAAGAAGATAGATCATTTAGTGTTCCTTAACCAAGAAAAATTGGAAATCAAAAACCTAATTTATCTCCCTATATATAATTTTCACCGACATTTTTGATTTCATTTATGTGTGACGAACTGAAAGACAACCATGAATAGTCTGAGTAAACCGCAATTGAATGGTATTTAAGAATTGAACTGGTCAGCGTAAATATAGTAAACTCTCATTTCAAAATGGAATGCTAAAATATTGTTTTGCATGAGTTTTTATCAACACGATTTCCAAATAAAAATTTGTCTATTATAATTAATTACAACAGGCAAAAATTTTTTTTTACATTTTCTTTATATATATATATATATATATATATATATATATATA